TCTACCTGCAGCCTGTGTGTGTGTGTGATCTACCTGCAGCCTGTGTGTGTGTGATCTACCTGCAGCCTGTGTGTGTGTGTGATCTACCTGCAGCCTGTGTGTGTGTGTGATCTACCTGCAGCCTGTGTGTGTGTGATCTACCTGCAGCCTGTGTGTGTGTGATCTACCTGAAGTGTGTGTGTGTGATCTACCTGCAGCCTGTGTGTGTGTGTGATCTACCTGCAGCCTGTGTGTGTGTGATCTACCTGCAGCCTGTGTGTGTGTGATCTACCTGCAGCCTGTGTGTGTGATCTACCTGCAGCCTGTGTGTGTGTGATCTACCTGCAGCCTGTGTGTGTGATCTACCGGCAGTCTGTGTGTGTGATCTACCTGCAGCCTGTGTGTGTGTGTGATCTGCCTGTGTGTGTGTGTGTGTGTGATCTATATGTGGGTTTGGATTTGGTAGCTCTCACCTCACTTGAATGGAGGCCAAGAAAAACAAAATGTCAAACAGACTACAGCATAGTGCTGCCAAAGTAAACACAACATGAAACGGTACTATCAAAGAAACAAGTGCCTACAAGATCCTTAATAGCTTCAAAATGTATTAATGAAGACAAAACGTCAAATTAAACAAAAACAAAACAAACATTTAATAACTGTGCAGGATTGAAACAAAATGTATGATTTGAGCTGTCAAAATGTTAGAAAAATAAGTTTGAGTTTGCAGCCAATTAGCTTTGTGGTTGTTTTCTGTTTTATTTACGTTTAAAATTAAACTACATGTGTGTGTGTCAGTTAAAAAGCACAGTTTTAAGGCCRACACGTGTTTTAAAACCATACCGTTTAGGTGAGATCCGGACCCGGGGTCCTTCCAGCTGACACCACATTGATTATGAAGTCCTGTCGCCAGACGCTCAACTGCTATTTATATTATATATTTATATGTAAAAAGTCAAGAAACACGTTCACACGGAAARAATAAAACTAATCCCAAACATTTCTTTCTCCTTTTAGAATTCCGTGACATTGCATGTACCAACAAGAACCGACGAGGAGAAAAAAAAGAAAAGTAAAGAAAACTTTCTCCTGTCCGGTGAGGGAGCGCTTCCTCTGGYGGAAAAATGCGGCCAAGAAAAATTAAGAAAAAAACAGCGAAATTCAAAATATTCCAAGTAGTTACTCCACCAAAGCGGCCGAGGAAAGTGCACTTCAATTCAAATACGTGAGCGAAGCGGAGGAGAGAAGTTCGCTAAATGTTTTAMGAGCTGCTGCCGAACTCAGCCTGAAACGCGTGAAGTGGGAACAAGCTAGCCTGAGTTAGCAATAACACTTCCTGCTCAGAGTTTCAAAATAAAACGTCTTTGAGAAATCCGGCTCTGCGTAGAACATMGAAGGCACGGCGATGCTTTTATTTCAAAATTAATCACAGCTATTTCCGGTYCTAGCTCTAGTTAGCATATGCTAGTTTGACGCTGCAAATTTCGGCTGATTTGTCCCGAGGAGCGCTAAAAACTTGGCAGTTATGGAAATATGCATTAAACAAGTAAAATTATGTACAAGTTAATTATTCATTAAAAAGAAGCTCATAATTTAACCAACTATCATGGAAATTAACGTACTTTGTAAGTAYCAGTAATGAAAAACGTAATTTTGCTGTGAATCACACAGCATTCACATTTTTTAACTTGAAAACTTGGAAAAAAACTGTCAAGTCAAGTGTAGTTTGTTAGTCTAGCATCAATTATTGCAAACCAGCTGTAGTATTTAATTTAAAGTTTTCATCTACAACTGCAAACAGATGCAACATGACTCCACTTAAAATCCATCCCGGGGATGTAACCTTCAGTTTATTGCCAAATTCAAGCCAGACTGCTGCAGATTGCTTCCTGATTGCTCGGCCCAGGTATGTGGATTGAAACATATGGCAAACATGTGACTTTTGGGACTTTTTGCTGGCATGAACAAATATGGACAAAACAAATAAATGACTGAAGATAAAACATAAATTGAAACAGGACTGATAATGTGACAGACTTGTCGTTTATCTGTACATCTGACAAGGGTGGATGTAAGAGTTTTGAGGCCCTGGGTGGAATAGGGCCCCCTGGACAATATTGCGCTAATTTCATGGGCATAATTTTGAACAGTTAAGTTTTATAATTGCACATCTGTGTTTANTTAAGTTAAAACCCATTTATCAAGCCAGCTTGTTTTAAAGACCTAACAGGAAAAAAGTGTAGAGTATAAACAACAGAGGAAAGTATTTCTAAAGTAAATTTAGCACCTGATGGATCATTCTGACCCGTTTTGTTGTTCGTGGTGGGAACCACAGGGCTTCGGTCCGGATAAGGAGGAGAAACTGGGGGAGATTTTGACACAGATGCCATAAAGCAGCTCCACACCTGGCAGCAGCTACTGTGCCATTAGGCTGTTTACCAAGTAATCCCCCCTTCTCGTGTGGCTAATGTCAGTAAGACAAAGTGGTAACGCAGTGTGTGTGTGTGTTAGTGTTGGGACTGCGCCCCATCCCGTCCCGATCCTGCTTCTTTGAAGTTGTTGAGCTGCAGGAGTGGAAGATGTCTGCAGGCGGGTTGTTTGCTCCCTCCAGTTGCACGTTTCTGCAGAGGGTATTATGGTTTTGGCTGAGAGGCTGTGAAACCATGTAAGATGGAAAAAACCAAAACATGCAGGTAAATGTTTGTTCGCCACTTTATCCCTCTCTGCAGGGGGAAAGGAGGAAGCAGAGGCCTGAAATGAGCTCATTTACCGCAGCCCTGCTGTCCCACTGAGCAAACAGCCCATTAATTCCAGGTCTGTGATTGTTTCATGCAAAACCTGGAGGATTCGGGCCTTTCCTGTCATTAGGAACAGACCCACATTACACTTCCAGGGAAACTAAAGGTTCACCATTCTTTGAAAGAATGCACATCTCCKATCATCTGTAAGGACAGAGTTTTAATTCAAGATGGTTGTTGCAGTTTTAGCTGCACACCCAGATATTTATTTCTTTTTATTAAGAATGTCATCCATACTCAATGAATTGCTAATAAGTAAATAAAGATGTGTTGWACAGTATGTTTTGTGCTGGCTAATGCTGAATAGCTCTGCAGCCATCTTGAAATGTCAATCAGTTGTAGATGAACGTCCAATTTCAGAGTTTTAATGAAAATCAGTCCAGTGGTCCATGAGATATWTTGCTAACAGTCAGAGAAAGCTGACTTTGAACAGGTACTGGGAAAGTTTTATTGTAAATGATAATATTGAAAATATATCRTGCTAAATCTTTCAGGGCATGTCCTGTGTTGGTCATGAGTCTCACAGCAACTAATAATAATCTGAGCTCAGAATCTGTCAATTATTGACTGAAATACAAAAACATGAAGTCAGCAGAGAAGACTGAACTCATCTGAAAACAGAGATCAGCGTTTATATGAAAACTTACGTGTGTGTGTGTGTGTGTGT